CAATATTCGATCACAATCTGTGGATGGGTGTATCCTGAAAGCGCAGGTCCTATCTTCCACTACAACCCACGTCATTGGGGCTTGCATGTGTGGATGACAAGAGCTGACGAATTCTTTGTGCGATTTGTTGGTCGTAATAATAGACGAAGTCCATATCTGAAAAGACGAGGATTTCCACGACGAAAGTGGACTTACTTCTGCACGACTTACGACAGTCGATCTGGAATTGCAACGATTTGGCAGAACTCTCGTCTAGTAGTGCGCAGGAATATCGGTCGATTCAAGTATGGTCTCGCCACGAACTATCCAATAGTGATTGGTGCCAAGCCTGGTGATCGTCGATATTTCCGTGGACGCATCTCTTGTCTTCAAGTATATCGCAGAGTATTGAATGGACGTGAGATAAGAGCCTTGATGAAGAAATGCTTTAGAGGTAACCAGAAGTGAATAATATAATCACTTTGATAAARCTCTAGGTTTAATCACCGTATTTCTTTGTCTTTACTCTAGGTCCTCTTCCAACACCAAAACCACCAACACCAAAACCACCAACACCAACGTCGCCTCCTAAACGTATGTACAGTTTAGTGTACAATTTTTTTTGAATAATAAGAACCAGTTGATTCTTTCGTTTGAGTTTAGTGTTTTCTACACTCCTTGGCTTTTATTCTTTTACAAATGCTCTCTTAGTACTTTTTTTCCTGGCTTTTTTTTTTATTATCATACTCACAACCAAAGGCTATGGACAGGCGCTCTGATTCGTTGTCATATCAGTTCAAATCGCTAGCGTAGGGAAACAGCCACCCTTTCAATTTCGTCGTCAATGATTGACTGAGCAAAGCACAGGAACCTTTRATTACTTTTTGTAGTTCTTCATTTTCATAGAACAAATCGTTTCTTTACTCATATATTTAATTGTATATTCTTAACGTTTCAGCTTGTGCTTCTCGTGTCGATGTTGGTATCCTTTTGGATGGATCCGGGAGCATTGTGCGTAACGCCCGAGGCAACTTCAGACGCCTTATTGACTTCATAAAGGTGTTTTTATCTTTCTTCCCATTCAAACGCCGTCAGACCCGCGCCGGTGTGGTATTGTTTTCTAACAGACCRTACTTAATTTTCGGATTTAACCGGTATAGATATGCACGTCAAATCTACCACAAGATAGATAGAATCAGATATCCACGGGGAAGAACATATCTCGGTAAAGCATTRAGATTCACTTCTAGGCGCTTGTTCAAAGGACGAGGTGCTCGTGGAAGGAAGAGGTTCCTTCTCGTTCTAACTGACGGAATTTCCGTTGACTCTGTGCGTGCTCCTTCTGTTTCTCTTCGTCGACGTGGTGTCGAGATTGCTGTTGTTGGTGTTGGCGCAAGGCTAAGACCACRTCAACTTCATGAAGTTGCTACATCTCGTAGACATGTATTTACGGTCGGATTCAAGAAACTTGTGCATCGACGTATACTTGGTAGTCTCAATAGCTTGGCATGCAATCCTTTTACACCAAGTAAGTTATCTTATTGTTATTTAAAATAGTCGATTGTAGTCTATCATTGCTGTTATATCTTAACGAATAAAAACATTTGCTTGTAGCATTATTAATAACGTGACAATGTTAAAAACCCATTTATATGTAGACATGAATAGCCTCACAATTTATGTGTACACATTTGTTGCTTATATAGCAGAGTAACTCTGTAGATCAAGTCTCATGGAGGGTAGCTATTAAACAAAAGTTAAAAGTAAATAGATGAAACAATGATTAGAGAATCGAAGCGTCTATCGCACGGTCCCTCTCCCCCCAAGTTCTCTTTCACAAGGAAATCTTTGTSAACTATAACAGGCCTTTGTCAAGTTCGAAAGGTGTCCATTTATTGTTTATTCCCAAAATGTTTAATATTCTGATTAATCATTTGATTTTCTCATCAACAGCCCAAGCCCCTCCTCCAACTAAAGGTAACTTGTTTATTGATCCTTGTATGTTGTTGAAATGGTGAACAGAATTTCATTTTCTTGAATTTCAGCTTGTGTCAAGAAGGTCGATATTGTTTTTGTTATTGACGGCTCAAGTTCAGTGGGAAGCGACAACTTTAGGAAAATCATATTATTCCTGAGAAAGATTGCTAAGGGTTTCTATGTCTCCAAAACAACAAGTCGTTTTGGTGTCATTACTTACTCTTCCAGGGCAAGGGTCAACTTCAACTTTGAACGATACACTGATGGAAAGACACTGGACGTAGCTCTTCGCAAAGTGACATATCCCCGCGGTGGTACGCGAACAGGTTTGGCCTTGACTATGGCTAAAAAGTTGTTTAACCGAAGYAGGAAGAGAAAACGAACTCTTGTTGTTTTGACTGATGGAAGACCTGGTGACGACGTAACAGAACCAAGTAAAGAGCTCAAAAAAGCCAATGTAGACGTTTTTGCCATTGGTATTGGAAAGAAGATCGGCGTCGATGACCTTAGAAAAATCGCTTCGGATAACCGCCACATCTACATGGCCTCTTTCAAAACTCTACAAACTATTATTAAGAGCTTGACTAAGAAGATCTGCAAAGGTAATGAATCTATTATCATTTGGATGTTGAATGATTGTGATTACGATTAGTATTGTGATTACGGTTATGATTATGAGGGTGATAATTATTAATGGTAATCTTTTAGGGGTCAGACCCACCATACCAACAAGACCTGTTTCGACGCCTACCACAAGACCTTCAGGTAATAATTCTTAATTACTTTATTCATTCTCTCCTCGATGCTGACCGTTTGTCATTTTAACAGGATTTCCAAACCCAATTGCTGTGTATCCACTGGACATCCACAGTAAAACAAGTGATATCAGTCGAGGTCGAAACACACCAGGTATCCCGTACAGTATCCGATACTACCCGGGACCATACTACAGACCAAACAAGTCTACATACTTTTATGGCCGTCGATCTTCTTTGATAAGATTCCCAAATAAGGGTAATCTAAACACAAGGTTCTCCATTACTCTTATCGCTTGGATCTTCCCAGAAAGACGTGGTCAAATCTTCGAGTTCATTGGGGGCGTAAGCCTAAAGGCAAGCAGGACTGACACGCTATATTTCCGTGTTGATCCAAAGCAGCCTGCTCTAACTGCAAAGATGTTACACCCAAGGAAGTGGAACTATATCGCCGCTACGTACAGTTTTAAAACTCAGACTGCTATTCTTTGGCGAGATTCACTTCCCATTGCTCACAGACACATCAAACGCTCGGTTCTTAAAACAAAGGGATCGGCATTCATGGGAAGATACTTTAAGGGACGAATTATGTGCATGCAGGTGTACAAAATTGCATTACATCGTCGACAGATTGAGAGACTCAAGCATCTCTGTACAAGACCAGGTAGATGTCATTTAAACATACCTTCGCAAAGGAACCTAGGCTCCTGCATTTGCGGGCTAGCTTATAGACGACACGAATACTAATGAAAATTCCCATTTTTTTTCCAGTTCATACTCCAAGACCAACAGGTCCAATAAGTAAGTAGTTTTGTTGTGATTTATCAATTAAGCAGTACTTGTAATAGTAACAAAAGAGATTATTAAAGAGTATTACGATCAAGGAAATTATCGGATGTGACAGATTTTTGATATTTTAGAATGGAGTAAGGGTTTATTGAATTGGTAAACTTATTCGTCCTCCACAGGATTACCACCTGCTTTGGCTTTCTATCCTTTGAATGTTCGATACGGAGGAAAAGACATCAGTCGAAGTAGAAATCCACCTGGTCGCTTTGGTAACGTACGTCCTGGTGTTGGTCCAGACAGAGTTCCTGGTGGGTCAATTCGATTTAAGGGACGCAGTGACAGCTACATAGAGTTCCCTAACCGTGGGCGCCTCACTGCTCGAGATTCAATCACTCTTCTCGCTTGGGTGTTCCCTGATGGTCCTGTAGGTCCTATCTTTAATTACAAGACCAACGGATTTGGCGTTCACCTATGGTTAACCCGACCAAGAGAATTATTTGCACGATTCGTATCTTCAAAAGGCTCTTTCAAAACTCCGCTTAAATCGCGCAAGATTCGTCTTCGAGCCTGGAACTTTGTTGGAACGACTTACAAYCATAGGTCAGGGGTTGCCAAATTATACATAAACAACATACTTGTTGATAAGAAACGATTAGGAAGATTTAGATTACTCACAAATTATCCAGCCAGAATGGGTGCTAGGACTGGCGACAACAGGCGTTTCCGTGGTCGCGTCACGTGTATGCAGGTTTACGGTACTGCATTGAGCGTTCGGCAAATGAAATTGGCTAAAGCACTTTGCTTCAGAACCAGTAAGTAGTATATTCCACAGACATAATGTACACGCTAAACATCATTTAAGGTTACTCCCATCCAACGACGAGTGGAATTTGTCTATTTTTTAACTCGCTCGCTCCGCATCAAAAATGCCCGTATAGTTCTGACTTTTATATATGTAATAGATGAATTATTAACCTTTCTGATGTTGTATTCGCAATTTTAATCTGATGACGCGATGGCCAACACTAGCCGATATTCAAACAGTGATCTCAAAAGTGTTTGGCTTTCCGTGCGCGCAAAAACCTATCGATTTTTCTCAAATTTAAAAGCCATAATAAACAGATTATTGGCATTCAAAGTTTGATTAATTACACAAATCCAAATCCGTCGTTTGTTGTTTTGAGAATTTTTATTCTTGAATGTTTTATTTACACAAGTGCGTTTTCGAATCGGCTTTGTAGCGACGGTCTCAGTCGACGGATTTGTGTAATTTTTCAAACATAGAATTCCAATAATGTGTTTTTAAGGCTTTTAAATATGAGAAAAGTTGATGGATTTTTGCGCACACGAAAGTCAGAACTATACGGGAATTTGTGATAAAGAGAGAGAGAGAATTAAAAAAAAGACAAATTTCATTCACCGTTAGTTGGGAGTAACCTTAAGCATACAGGAAAGATGTGTTTTATAGCAATATTTGACTTTTATTGAACGTTGTCGTAATTTGAAGACCCKGCAAAATCACAAAACGTTTGGACGACTTTCAGCTACTTAACTGGGGCTGCTTATACAGAGAGCGTGTAAGGTTAACTCAATGGCTCCAATGTATATATTTCTTAAAATCTTATTTCTTTGTTTTCACAGGACCTATCAAACCTACACCTACAACAAAACCAACGAAAAAACCCACACGTAAGTATAAGATTTCCTTTATCGTATTGTCCTTTTGAATGGTAATAACTGCACTTATTTTTCAGATCTATATCTAAAGATCTGTCCATGCACTTGTTTTCCAGTAAACTGGTTCTTAAAATAGTGTTCTTTTATAGGTTGTGACGCTGACATCGATCTTGGTTTCTTGATCGACTCTTCCTCGGGTGGTTCCAGAAGAGGCTTCTCAGTGGTCATTCGATTCGTTATGTCGATTGTTCGCTTATTTAAAATCTCCAGACAGGATTCTAGAGTTGGTGTTGTAACCTTCACATCACGTTCATACAGGAAATTTGCGTTTACCAGGTTTGTATAGTCATTTACATTTTGTTTAGGAAAGTCCATTTTGGTTTTCGAGATTGTATTGTATCATGATGGAAGGCAATTTATAAAATTTAGAAGTGCGAAATTTTCCAAAAACAAAAACAAAACAAAAGAAAGAAACAAAAAACAACACCAAAACATGAGAAATGAATAAATTTTAAATTGACATATTTGAAGTAAGATCAACTCTTTACTACGGATCACGTTAAAGTATTGTAAATTGTCTCTATATTTACAGCTATTCAAAGATAAGTTTGATTCTGAGAGCAATCAGTCGTCTGTCATACCGACGCAGTCGTTACACATATACTGGGCGTGCCTTAAACACGGCGAAGAACTATTTGTTCAAGGGCAGGAAAGAGTGTGGTCGAAAACGAATCCTGATTATTATTACAGATGGTGTTTCCCGAGATAATATCCGGCGACCAGCATATCAGCTGAGACGCGCGGGTGTTGAGATTGTCACCATTTCAATCGGTAGAGCTGCAATTCGACAGCTTCGTGTGATTGCCGCTGACCGTCGTCATGTATTCATCTCTTCAGTCTATCGTCTTCGAATGCTTGTGGCTCCCGTTAGAAACTTGGCTTGTCGAGGTAAACCTAGAGCATTACATTAATTTATCAATAAATTTCAAAAATGTATGCACTAACATATACTCTTGTACTTGCTTTAGTTTCTGGATCATTCGACGCCTCAGCTTTCTACCCACTAAACCATCTCCATCAAGGTAGAGATTTGTCCAAAAACAGAAATCCACCAGGAAAGCTGTACAATGTACGACCTGCTCCTGGTCCTGACGGTCTTCCTCTTGGATCGTTCCATTTTACTGGAATCGCAAACAGCTTCATTCGATTCCCCAAGAGTCGTTGTCTAGATGCCAAGAGATCTCTGACGATCGTTGTCTGGGTGTATCCTGAGGGCAGTGGCCCCATCCTCCATTATCACCCTAATTACTGGGGATTGCATTTTTGGATGGCTTCAATCGACACAGTATTAGTCAGATTTGTTCCACGTAATTTCCGTTCAGTGCCAACAATAAGTAGTCGTGGAATTAAACCAAACAGATGGAACTACTTGGCCATAAGCTACGACTATACTACCGGTGTTGCAACTATTTGGAGAAACTCTGTTCCAATTGCACAGAGACGAATCGGTGTATTTAAACTTGCAACTAATTATGATGCTGTTATGGGCATAAAGCGTATTGGTAGTTCACCAGCGTTTAAAGGAAGAATCACTTGTCTCCAAATATATAACAAGGCTTTGAATGGGAGGCAAATTGCTAGTCTCAAGAGGAGATGTTTCAGAGGTGAGCTACTGTGTTTGTATATACATAATTGAAAAAACCTAGTCTGGTTCCAAAAGGATACATCATCATAATGCTCGAGTCCTTTATTTATGATTTTTTGTTCAATCAAAAGGCAATAATTGTTTTGGTTAATCAAAGGCTGATGTAATTTACTTTAGTTGATTTGCACCGGCACCGTTTTGCTACTTAATGCAAATAAAGCTTCATTTTAAATACATTCTATTGATTCAATTTGTTTTGTTTTTTTAATCTTATAGCTGCTCCAACTACAAAACCAACGCCTACATTGCCAGGTAAGATATCTTTAAATTGTTCCTTTATGTTTTCTGCATTCTGTATTATTTCTGTGTATTTTTTGTACTATTTGTTTGATTGCTTATTTGAGAATGAAAAAAGAATCGTTGCATAGGTTTGGCTATAAGTKTTTCTCATTACAGAGATTAATTATTGCATGGGCATATTTTAATCTCTGTCTCTCTTTTTAGCGCCAGAGGTTGTAGCAATTTACCCACTTAGTCGTACTCACAAAGGTAAAGATGTTTCTGGTCGTAGAAATCCGACTGGTCGATTTGGCAGAGTTGGCTTTGCYAAGGGACCAGACGGTCGTAAGGACAGTTCTACTCAGTTCTATGGCAATTCATACAGCTACATCGAAATTCCGAATAGAGGTAAACTGGACGCTCGAAAATCCATAACCATCCTGGCTTGGGTATATCATAGCGGAAAATCAGGRCCTATTGTGAACTACCGTCCTGGAGGAGGTTGGGGAGTTCACTTATGGCTGACCAGTCGACGTACTCTGTATGTCCGCTTTGTTAGACGTGATGGTAAATTTACTCCGGGTCTGATTGGCTTGAGAGGAAGATTACCATACAAGGTCTGGAACTACGTTGGTGCTTCTTACAATTACAAGACAGGCTACGCCAAGATTTGGTTCAACTCTAGAGTTGTTGCCTACAAGCGCTTAGGAAGGTTCAGCATTGCTACACAGTATCCAATCAGAATTGGTTCTCGGCGAGGCGATCGACGTCATTTCAAGGGACGAATTGCTTGTATACAGATCTACAGCAAAGCTTTAAGAGCTTCTGAGATAAGAGCTGCAAGGAAGAGGTGTTTCAGTAAGTATTGACGTTTATTGCTATCTAGACTTTCACAAGTCGGAAAGAAGGGAAACCGAGCGCAAAGCGAAGGAACTTAGTGAAAGTCTACGTTATTGCATAAGAAATTTTACTGATTTGATCATATATACCGCAGCTAATGAAACTGCCAGTTAAAATATTAATTTTCCCAGGGAAAAGCTGTGTTGGTCCTTTGATTAAAATTATGATTACTTTTTAAATTATTATACTCTTCTTTCAGAACCAATACCAATCACCCCAAAGACACCCAGAACAACTCCTACTCCAACCAAAAAACCTCCACCTCCAGGTAAATTGATTGATTTTCGGTCTAAGCTGATAAACATTTTCCCCGTAGTTTGAACTGAGATCCATTTTCTTTCATTTAGTGCGACCAGCTCGCGCCTCTGCCGTCTACCCTCTCAACGATAAGTCCCGTGCTAAAGATGTGAGCTTGTATCGTAATCGTCCTGGCATCCCTGTTGGTGTGCGATTCGCACCAGGCCCTGATGGAAAACCACGCGGATCATACCAGTTTTATGGACATCGAAATAGCTATATATACTTCCCAAATAATGGACGTATAGATACCAAGAATTCTATCACAATATTGGCGTGGGTTTACTACATGGGACGCTCCGGGCCAATCTTCCATTATTTCCCTAAAGGATGGGGTGTACGTTTATGGATGAAAGGACGAAGAACCATTTTTGCGACTATTATGAAGCGGGGACGTCGACCAATATTTACAAAATCTATTTCATCCACGCGTATTAAACCGYACAAGTGGCAATATGTTGGCATGACATATGACTTCCGAACAGGAGTAGTCAAGCTATACTTGAACAGCCGAGTTATTGCGAAGAGGAGTATTGGTCGGTTCCGAATTGCTACTAACTATCCCGTGCGAATGGGTGTAAAGATTGGAGACAGGAGATACTTTAAAGGTCGTATATCTTGCGTCCAAGTTTATGATGTAGCACTTACCGCTAATCAAATTGCCAGAAGAAAGCGTCGTTGCTTCCGTGCAGGTATGGAATGATGTGTCGTTTTTATTCCTTTTAACTGCTGCAGAACGATCTATCAAAATGCAATATTTTCTCAGTGTATTTGATATTTCTTCTTTTTGCTATTTCTAAATTAGCTGTTTGCTTTTTTACCATTTTAGGTGGCGGTGGTTCCGGCAAAAAACGTAAGTTATATTGTTAAAGTCCATTTGTGTGTTTTATTCGCTTTCTTTTTTATCTTTTCTCAATTTTCATTTTAGTTTAGATTTCTATAGATCAGCGTCTATATTCTTAAAATCATTGAACAGTTTTAACGAAAATAAATGTTCTATTGCAGCATGTAGAGTTAAGAAAGATATCGTCTTTGTCGTTGATGCATGTCGAAGTGACTTCCATTACACCACCTCCAATTTCAATCGAGTCAAGAACTTCATCAAAAGAATTATTGGCTTTTTCCGCGTCACAAGGCGATTTGTCCGTGTGAGTGTTGTTATTTATGCAAACATAAATCGTATTGTAGTACCAATCAACTCCAACACCAGCAAAGGTCGCATCTTCAGAGCAATAAACCAAATGAAACTCATTTGCGGCGCAAGATACACTGGAAAGGCAATCCGTTTCACAAACAACGCCATATTTAGATATTCAAGACGCCCAAAGGTTATTGTTGTGATTACAACTGGACCATCTAAGGATCGTGTCTATAGAATAGCACAAGTTCTCAAGACAAAACGTATCGAGTCTTTTGCCATAGGTGTTGGTCGTCGTTATAAATTGCGTGAATTACGTAAAATCGCAACCGACAAACATCATGTGTACACAGTGGGCTTCAGAAACATCGAGTCATTGAACATAATCCTCAGAAAGAAATTATGTAGCAGTGAGTATATAAAATATTTTAAATATCCATTTACAATTATTTACACAAATTCTTAACACTAGCAAAGATGTCATTATATTGGTTGCATTCGATGGCTAATATGTTATTTTGCCTTTTCTCGCAAATCATTCGAACACTTCGAAATTATTTTTCTAAAGGTTTATCAAGGTAATCTGTATTTGTATGACAAATTTTAATTTTGATTTATCGAAAAACCTATATATTGATATATTGCAAAAATAAGCAGCCACAATTTGTTCAATTGAGTGTAAATGTAATGTTCATTTTGTTCATTTGCAAGTTGTTGACTAATATCAATCAAATAATTCTAGTTACGGTTCTACCTACCGCAAAACCAACTCGTCGACCACCAGCCAGTCGTAAGTAATTGTAATAACTATTTCCCTATCATTTGTGAAATTAACGTTGCAATAAAATAGAGTTAACATCAGTTTTCTCCCTCTGATTAGATAATGGCTGTATTTATGAGTTTAACGATATGGTTTAGTACTTACGCGCAGAATATTCAAAATATAAATCCCTTTCGAAGTGATTTGTTTCAGTGTTCGTCTTTGGAATAAAGAAACCTACCAAAATATGCTTTCAAAAAATAAATCAAAACGTTTTTGTTTTCATATTTAGAAAAATTAGGCTCTGAAGCTGAAGTGTCTGAACAATGTAGGGATAAGCATAGCATTAGGCATAAGAACAGCAATAAGCTAATTAAAGAACAAACAAAGAAACACACCTTCTTGATCCCTTCTAATCCAAATAGCTATTGTTTTTCARTCCTTGTGTAGTGAAAACCAGGCTTAACTCGTGAAACAATGAGTAAAAATTAAAGTGTCCAAAAAGACAAAAGAAGTCACAAAAAAAAATGATAAGAAACACTCTAGCAAAAATAAATCTAACTTAATCATCAGTACTAACATAGCTTTATCGTGACGTCCAACAGGTCGTGCGGTTGCTGTATACCCATTGAACAACCAGGTYAAAGGACGTGACATCAGCTTGAGCCGAAATCCCTCTGGAAGACTTGTCAATGTAAGACTAGCTAAAGGTCCCGATGGAACGCGTGGTGGTGCCTACCGATTCCTTGGAAAGAGTTACAGCTACATTGAATTTAGAAACACGGGTAAACTAGACACYAAGAATTCCATCACTCTTTTGGCCTGGATAAAGCATACTGGACGAACAGGTCCTATCTTCAACTACAATCCTAGAGGCTGGGGAGTGCACTTCTGGATGACATCACCCAGACAATTGTTCGTCCGCTTTACACGACGTAACCGTCGTCAACCAGCACCTGTTGTGTACAACCACATAAAACATGGTCGATGGCAGTTTGTTGGTGCCACCTACAACAAGAGAACCGGAGTAGCTAAGCTATTTGTAAACAATAGATTTGTAGCGAGAAGATATATTGGTAGGTTCATGTTGTCTACCAACTA